ATCATTAAAAGTTTAAGTTCATAATATATTTTAATACACTGTTAATATTAATAATACAATTAGATTACCTAATCCTAAACTTCCACCTTCTAACCTTAGCTTATTTTTAATTATAATAAATTGTATTATCTCTTAGTATATATGATACTATTTTCCCTATTTGTATTTTCTACTTTTCCATTTTATTAATATTACTATCCATCATCTCTTAACCTTTTTGGAGTTCCATCATTTGTTGACTTTTTAATCACCCTTTTATTTCTCTCTCTTATAAACTTATAGCTTTTTTTGATATTTTTATACCCACTGAATATTTCCTTTGGGTTGCCCTTTGTCTCTTTCTGCTGTATCATTTGAGCACTCATCCATAAGTCTTTCCTTTTTTTTTTTTTTGATAAGAATTTTCTTTTTTTTCTCTAAACCTTTTTTTAAAGATATTTTTCTTTTTTTCCCCTCTGTTCTATTATAAACTTTTAAGGAATTATCTATTTGATTCCTATTTATCAATCCTTTCTCTTTATTATCTTCTTGCATCTCATTTTGATTTTTCTCTTCCACTGCTGCTTCTAATTTCTCATCTATTTTCTGAATATCATGTTCATCTTTTCCCCCCAGTTGTTGAGAGACATCTACACTCATTTCTTTATCTTTAGACAATCCCCTTGTTTCCTTATTGTTCTTTATAATTTCATGCATGCTTTTGAGCATCAAAATTATTTCTTCATATACCTGTATTATCCCCTGATAATCCATTTTATAACAATTTGTTAGAAATTACTCAATATACCTCTATGGTTCCAACGTCTCAATATTTAAAAACTCCAACAGAGCCAATTATTAATAGGGTTTAGTCAATCCCATAGTTATACCCCCAAATCCCCTAGATCAAGGGTGAAATCCAGCAGGTTCTGACAGGTTCTGGAGAACCGGTAGTGGAAATTTTCAGCAGTTCAGAGAACTGGAAGTGGAAATTTTGAGTAGTTCAGAGAACTGGCAAATCCACCTCTGGCTGGTCCCAGAGTGGGGTGGGAATGGAGATTTTGCAGTATCCTTCCCCTGCCACACCCACCAAGCCACACCATGCCCACCAAGGCACGCCCACAGAACTGGCAATAAATAAAATGGATTTCACCAATGCCCTAGATTTATAATCTTTAAAGTTCTTCAGTATTTTAAAGCCTTTTGGTTTTCCAGTTATTTGTCTTCCCAATTGTCCAAATTTTAAAGTCTTATTTAACTTTTCTTCTTTTCTCTTTTCTTCTATCACCTTTCTTCTTTTGCCTCATAGAATGTTCTGTCAAATAGCATTAATAATCCAAATCCAAATTAATCCACTAGGTTTCCTTCAATCTTTCAAGTCCACAATCCAATAACCAGTTTCAATAAGAGTTTAGTTATTTGCAATTTAGTTCATCTTAAAAATCTTCAAAAAAGAAAAGAAATTCACTAAGTATTTCAAAATATCCAAATCGTCTTCTAAAATAGAATCAAGGTCAGGCTGCCTTCCAGGTATTGTTTACTTTCTTCTGTTATGTGTATTAGACATTCCTCAGTTTCAGTAAAAGTTCTCACGCTGTAGTGCTCCTCTTTGTCCAGTAGATGGCTCTCCTGCTCCAAACTCCAACATTAAACAGTATGTCAAAAACAGCTGATTATCCAATAAATCCAAGGGATTTAAAGATACAAATAAAAGACAGTTTCTCCCAAAAATCATCTTTCAGATTGTTTAAGCTTTTTTCCAGGCTTTCTATATTTTAAAGCTTCCTTTGGGCATTTCTTTTGTCTCTTAATTTTCAGTCTTTAATCTTCTCTGTGTGTTTAATTGCCACTTCCTTAATGCTTGGAGATTATGTTTTGACATTCTTGTAAAGTTAAGTCTTTAGAGTAAGAATTGGAAGTTATCTTACCCAGTTTCAATGCTCTGTCCATGGACCGTTCCAGCACAAATCTTATGGTCCCAGATTTGACCGGAAGCATCGCGGTGAGACAGTCAGAGAATTTGCGGGCTCCGATGAGCTCCGCAAAAACCCGGACCGACGAACCGTCGCCAAGGAGTCTTCGGACCAGAACCGTCCTGTAGGGACGGGGATGAAGGAGAGGCGCCTTGGAAGACCAAAAGGAACAGGCAAGTTCCTTGATGTTCAGAGGTAGCTCTCTATGACTTGGCGGCGGGGGGCGGCAGCCATTGCAGCTGTCACGAAGCTGGGGCAACCGGACTAAGAATGGAGCAGGAGTGGTAAATTGAATGGAGTTTTTGGAGCCGGGTGAGTGTTAGCAAACTCACAATAAGGAATTTAAAAAAAAAAAAAACCTAGCGAGAAAACGGTGGCTAATAAGCATGGGGGGAAGAAAAGAGGATATTGGAGTGTATCTTTAAAGAGACAAAGGAAAAAACCCAAACAGAAAATTGACCTTTAAACAAAACGATCTAGAAAATAATTTGGAAAATTTTAAAAATGAAAGAAATTGCCCCAAGATTGATTAAAGGATCGGAAAGGAATAATTAGATCCTTTTTCTCTCCTCTTTCTCATGAACTTTAAGAAAAATAAAAAGAGAATAGATAATAAGACTTGTAATAGAAGTGCTGAATAAACAAAAGGAAAAAGGAAAAAAGAAAAGAAAAGACCTGTTTAAATTTGGACTGGACTTCAAAATTGACTTGGTATTCTTAAAGCTAAAAAGAAAAAGAGAAACTGGTTAAGACTGTTAATATAGTGAAACAAAATGGATACTTGTTAGATAACCGGAAATTGTGGATTACAGAGAGACACCTTCAGGAGCAAAAAGGAACTTGGTTTGTGTCTTGGAAAATTGTGAACTTTACAGATAACAGCCATGAGAACCTTTGGGGAGGATTCCTTTGTTTGCAAGCAGCTTGACTTTGTGGGGGGGGGAGGAATACTACTGAACTTTTAAAATTGGAACAATATCAATTTAAAAAGAATAAAATGGCATAGGAAATTAGAGAAATGATTAAAGCGATGTACTTCTCATGGAAAATGGAAATAAGAGAAATAATTACAATGATACATGGGGAATCAAAATCTGAGGACATAAAAAACGAGATACAACATATTCAAGCTGACAAGGAAACAAAGAGGGAAAAGCGAGACACAGAGGCTGAAGATAAAGAAGATAAAGAAAATGAGACCAAATGTGAAAATGTATTTGAATATGTGGATAGTAATAATAAAAAAGAGGTTTTTAAAGATTACATTGGGATTAACAATGAAAGAAATAGGGAGGATAGAAAGAGACAAATATGGAAAGAAGAGTGGAACAGAAAGGATATAAAGAATTCAAATGATTACACTGGGATTTACTGTGAAAAAATAAAAAAGAGAGAATGAGGGTGGAAAACAACAGGAAATATAGGGCAGAAGAGAAGAATCCAGAACTTTGATATACAGAATGTCAATATTGGGTTAAACAGCGGGCTAAACAGTGGTGAATTTAAAAAAAGAGAAAAGAGAGAGGGAACAATGGGAAATATAGGCAAAATAAGAGAGATCAGGATTTTAAAGTGCAGGAAAGGGGAAAGAAAAAGGTAAAAATAAAATTGAAAAGGGAAAAAAGAAGAAAGAAATGAAAGAGGAATTTGAGGTATACATTTAGAATTGAAATGTGAATTGTAGCAAGAAATAATGATAAAGTATATGATGGTGAAAATGAATTGTACAATAATTGGAATATTATCATTTATATTTTTGAAATCTAGATAATGATGTGTTTTGTTTTTTTTTCTTTGAGAAATATGAATAAGTTTAAAATGTAATAATTGAAATACTTTTAATGATTTATGGTGGTGTGCATAAAATGATTAAGTGAGGATTTAAAACAATACATAGGGGAAGAAAGTAGAGGATAACAGTCAGATTATTTTTAAATTTAATTATGGAAATTGTAATAGATGAAATATTTGTAATGGCATATTGTGATGAAAGTAGAAATTATTAAGATGTGGTTTGGAGGAATATATGGGGAAATTATTTGATGTATGAAAATGGAACTAATTGGAATAGCTATGTTTATATTCTTTTCTTTCTTTTTGTGTTTGAATATATAAATGGAAAAGATATTTACATAAGTAACTGATTATATTAAAATGTTGGACTGTATTAGCTAAGAAAATGTAAGTTATAAAACAAGTGGGTTCATTATTTCTACAAGAATTGAACAATTGTAACATCATAAAATTAATTATTCTGATGATGGATATAAAAACAGATGACAATAAGAAGGGGCTTAATATAGAATAGAAGGGAAAATTGGAATTTGGTTAAAATTAGAGATGAAAATGAAGGGTGATATTGGTAAAAAATAGATGAAAATAAACAGTATGGCAAAAAGAAGGTATAGAAATGGTAATTTTAGTTTTAAAGATTAAAAATTGTTTAAATTTGTTATGTGTTATGTTATTTTTAAATGTTTGTGTGTAAAAAATAAAAACTTTTTTAAAAAAAAAAATCTTATGGTCCCAGTTGTCCCAGCTTGTGACTTGCCAAAAATGGTCATCGTCCCTGCTGCCACTGAGGAGAGCTTGCTTCGGACCTAACGAGGAAATTGCAAGTTCCTTGTGGTCCACAAAGCGCCTCTCCTTTCTTTGTCACCCCTACAAGGCGGCTTTGACTCCATAGGGTCTCCTGACAGCAGTTGCTGGCTGGATTTTGCGGGGCTCAGCAGAGCTTGCTATTTTTGCAATGTAGCCTGCTATTTTTGCAATGTAACTATGCTTCCTCTGTTGCCACCAAATTTGACATAAAATAAAAAAAATAAATCAAGACTTGAGCTGTCTTGATTATAGAGAACAAATCTCTGAATAATGTAGATCTATAAGAGGCCTTATATTGATACTAGTTCATGATTTCTTGGGTGACAGAACAGTTGAATTGATGAAGAGTTGGGTTACTTCATTCATCATGACTACTTCAGAAAGTGCTAGTTAGTCACCTTATGGACATTATTATTATGTTTAGACAAAATGTTACTACTTTTTTAGGTACTAATAGAAGATTGTATCCCAGTCCTGAAGAGATATGCCAAAGAAGAAAGAATGTTTGATTATGTAATTAACGATTTGACAGCTATTCCAATCTCCACATCTCCAGAAGAAGGTTATTTTTTAAACTTTTATTATATTTCTGCTTTATTTTCCTATTAAAAATAATACCTTTGGGGCATTTGTCTGAATATGTAGAAAGCTCAAATTGGGGAAGATAATTGTCTATTCATACAGAACTACTTTCTACAGATTTACTCCAGCCTCCATAGGTTCTAGTGGAAAATCTGAAGGGAGGATCACACATCTCACAACAGTGGTTAGTGTGCAGTGTGCGAGGACAGAATGGGATGTTTAGACATGGACCCTTAGTCGCACCTCCTTTGCCCCCAGCCACCCGCTTCAGCCCATTTACAACCAGCTTTCCTTCTCCGCTGGCCCTTCCATGGCCAATGGACCCTGCCCTTCGTCCCTGCCCATTCTCCCAGACACCATTTGACCTGGGCCTTTGGCTCACGGGACAAATAGCTCCCAGCCAATCAAGTGGCAGGCAGAAGCAATGGTTCTGCAGGGACAACGTGCAATGGGCAATCACAGATGGGGGGGGGGGCAGCGTTCAATGCAAGATTATTTTTAAAAGTACTGTGACTGCTCCACACATTTTGGGGCCTTGTAGATCTGTCACCAGGACCAGAAGGAAGAGGGGTGGTGGGAATAGTGCCGGGGCCACTGGAAGGGGGGGCAGACAGGCAAGAGTGTGTTAGGGGGACCAGGAAGGGAGAGAGAAGTGTCTCAAGGGAGCTTCACAAAGGCAGCTTGGTTTGCAACTCAGCTCCAACGAAAGAGGGGAAGAGAGCAAGGCCTGTGTGGCTTTTGGCATTGTGGGGGGCAGCTGGGGGGCTGTGGCAGGTGAACAGCAACACTGGCATGGCTTCTGCAGTTGGATATGGGGAGAGGGGCACAGGTGAACAGCAAGGGTGGCACGGCTTACGTGATTGCAGGAGGCTGGGGGGACGCGGCAGATGAATGGACGTGATACACGGGTTGGGGGCAGCAGAACTGCCTGTTAGGCATCAGGCAGGAGTGGCAATGGCAGGGCTCCCCCAAGCTGCGTGCCACCGCCATTCACCTGTCATGCCACCTGCAGCATCCATGCAATCGCATAAGTCTCACTGGCCTTGCCATTCACCTGCGGCTCTCCCCTCAATGCCCACTGCAATTGCAGAAGCCACACCAGCCTTGCCATTCTCTTGCATCCCCCATACCTCCTGCAATCACAGAAACTGCACCAGCCTTGCTGTTCACCTGCTGCGTCCTCAGCCACTCCCCCGCAGTGCCAGAAGCTGTGCCGGCTTCGTTCTTCGGTCCCCCCAACACACTCTTGCTTGTCTGCCCCCCTCCAATGGCCCCAGTTCTGCTACTCCCGCCACCACTCCCCCTCCTTCCGGTCCTCGTGACAGATGTGCAAGACCCCAAAACTTGAGTAGCCACAGTATTTTTTAAAAAAATCTTGCATCACACGTTGCCTCCCCCCAGCCCCTGCGATCGCCAATTGCACGCTACCCCTGCAGCACCTTTGCTTCTGCCAACCACCTGATTGGCTTGGGGCTATTTGTCCCATGCAGCCAAATTGTGCCTGGGCAAATAGGCAAGGAGAAAGGGCAAGAGGCCCATTGGCTGTGGAGAATAGCCAGGGGAGGGCCAGTGGAGGAGGAAAACTGACTGTAAATGGGCTGAGCTGGGTGGCTGGGGATGAAGGGGGGCGGCCAAGGATCTGTGCCTAAATGTCACCCCTGCATGGATTAAAAACAATAACAAACCAAATATAGTGCCCGAAATCAAAAATAAAAGCCAGTTCAAAACAGCCAGCATTAACCAGCAGAACATGACTAATCATCTGGTCCAAACATCTGGGGAACAGCCAGGTCCTTAATACCTTACAAAAAGCTAGCACGATTGGGAACATCCAAATCTTTGGTGGGATGCGATTGCATTCCTTTGCAAGATGCTGTTATGCATTCCCTTGCAAGGTTTATTATCAATCGTTTCTTCTGAAAATCTCTTGTAGTTGAGTAACTTACTGTACATCTGAAGAATAGAGATAGATAGAACAGGTAAGTGTGTATGTGAAGTATAGTTTTATAAGGTGTGCATATTAGGGGTGTGGAGGAAAATGGAGAAAAATACAAATTATTAATAGATTTTTCTGCAATGCTGGAAATTGTTTTCTAAATAATTGTCCTATATTTATAAAAATGTTTAAAGGAAGTTCCATGCCTTTTTATTTACAGAGTATCCTAAAAATCAAACATGAATCCACTGATGTTGCAAATTGTAGTTGTTCTCATCACTTAACATTTATGAATTATTCAATTTCTAATTAAACAATTAGTACGTTTAAATTTAGATTCCACATGGGAGTTTCTACGAATGATTCTGGACCTTTCAATGAGAGTCTTGAAACCTGATGGAAAATATTTCACCCAGGTATGACAGGTGGAATTGTTGTAGATAATGCAACTATAGGGAATTTTGAAAAGAACCTTGTTTAGATGGCTTTGTACATAGGCATGTTAGGGTGAGTTTGGAGTAAAGGGTAATACCAAAGCCTAGTATTAAGTTGTATGCTGTGCTTCAGAAAGTAGTGAATCAGGAATAGGTGGTTTGTTTTGTTTTGTTTTTTGAAGATGAGTTCGATCAGAAGCTAAGATTGTTTCATTCTCTTGAAATGGAAAAATCCTGGGAGCCACACTTGACTTTTAATGGAATATTTGCCAGTCTTACTTAATTGCATTTCTTCCACAGGGATAAGTTTTCTCTTTGGTTAAAGTAAAGTTAGACAGAGGTATCCTACTTTAAATGTTGGAATATGTATGAGATAAATGTTCTGCCACGATTTGTTTGTTTGTTTGAGTCAGTGTTGACTCCTAGTGACTACCTAGAGAGGTCCCTGCAGTTTTCTTGGCAAAATTTCAGAAGTAGCTTGCTGTTACTTTTTCCAAGGGACTGAAAGAGAGTGACTGGCCCAATGTCAGCCAGTTGCCTTCATTATTAAGGCGGAACTAGAACTCAGATCTTCCAATTTCTAGCTTTATGTCTCAACCACTACACTAAACTACCTCTAACCTAGGAGAAAATCATTGCATTCCAGAATTTTTGCTAACTGTCTTGAGCCAGCTACATTTTGTCAGATTTTTCCAACTCTTTGCATCATCTACCCTCCTTCACTCATTGCTGCCATCCAAGTCCCAGCTTGACATATCTCCTGGCCCAATCAAACTTTGCCCAATCTTTCCAGAACTTTTGATTAATTATATTTCAGGTTACACTCTCTTATGCCTCTGAAATGCGGAGACAAATTGATTATGATTAGTTCTATAATTTTAAATTACTCATAAGTGTCAAGAACTCCAGTTAAGAAGAAAAGTTTTATTATATATGTAATCTATTTGATTTATATTCTGTCTTTATTTCAGCAGCTTAAGAGTTCCTCCTTTTTTCCCCACAAAACAGCCCGCTGTGGCGGGTTGGACTAAGAGGGAGTGACTGACCTAATGTCACTTATTGAGAATCTGGCCTTCCATTGCCTAGTCCACTTCTTTAACTATGCATCACACTGATGGCATTTATTAGATTTTTTAAAAACTATGGTGTGCAGAACTACTATTTCCATTGGTCTCCAATAATACAAAAAGTTCTCCATTTTTATTAATCATTGAAAACAAAGTCTTTTAGTTTAAAAAGCACTAGAATAAGTAATAATGTCAGCCTCAGCTTGCCTGCTTCAGCTGCCATAAGAAACGGGGAGGGATTAGGTATGGAGCAAAGGGGGGGAAGGGAGCAGGAGGGGGTTTGTCTTTGTAGGAGGGGACTTCGTGGGAATCGAAACTGTATTTTCAAAAGGGGACGGCTGACCAACTGTCTCGACATTCCTGATGGATGACGCTGCCAGATGTGTTGCCACCTGACCTTTGGAAGACCTTTGGGTTGGCTGAGGATTTATAAACACGAGGGAGGGAAGAAGCTTAGTAGATGCATTTCGCGCGTTTTGCTCACTTCCAGCTTAACTGGGTTGTTAATCATTTCTTATTCAGTAAAAGTACCAATTTCTTCAAAATGCTTGACTTTGGGGTTTTCTTTCCTGGATACTGAAGGAAGCATACCTGACATTAAGCTGGAAGTCACAACCAGTCATCCCGGACCAAAACCGAGGGGACTGTAAATCCAAACATGTCAGATCGGGGGAGTGATGGAGAAGAGAAAATGGGGGCAGCCAGTTCAACTGCCTTCCAGTCGGAAAAGGAGACTGCAGAATGGTTAGAAAAACTTCATCTGGAGACGGAGGAGGCCAGATGGTCAAAAGGTGTGGGGAGACTGCCGGACTGGGGAGAAGAACCCCGGGGAGTGACAATTTCCAGACCCCGGAAAAGAGAGGCAGTGTGGATGCAACAGCACAAGGAACGCCTCATGATAGATCAAGCCTTGCAGCTTATCCGTGATGTGGAAGAAAGCAGAAAAAACCATGAGTCTTTTGAAATTCCTGTGGAGAAGGGGGAAGCAGGCCCCCGGGGGGGGGGCGAAGAGACAGCCTGCGGGGGAGAGGAAGAGTTTGAGGAGGGAACATCCCAGGCTTCGGCAGCTCGAGGGAGAGATGCAGCCGGCCAGAGAACCCCAGCCTTGCAGGCCCCTCCCCGCAGACGAAAAAAGCCAAAAATCCCCCCCCCCTTCCTGGGAAGTTTGATGGGAATCCAAAAACCTTGGGATTTTTCCTGACCCAAGTGTGGAACCACATGGAGGACTGGGGGGAGGACTACGAAACAGAGGCGGCAAAAGTCAGAGGCGTCGCGAATGCCCTAGAGGGAGTAGCTGCTGAGTGGATGGTGGTTCTCCACAATAACAACTCCCCCTTGCTGAGAAATTACAACCAGTTCATGAGGGCCCTTAGAAGGCGTTTTGAAGACCATTTAGCCGAACGAAAGGCGAGACTCAGAATGAAGAGCATTCAGCAGGGCCGGAGGCCGGTGGCAGAGTATACCCAAGAGTTTCGTGAACTGGCACCCTATATGACAGGCTGGTCAGAAATGGCTCTTTTGGAGAGCTTCAAAGATGGATTGAATGAAGAGATATATTGAGACTGCAGGAGCATGGGGGTCCCCGATGATTTGGATAGATGGTACATAGTAGCTGAGGATGTGGAGATCGAGCTGAAACGGAACGAACTCCGAGGTAGGCGAATGGGAGACCACTCATCCTCTTTCTACCGTAAGGGACCGCCCAAGATGACTGGCGGGAAAACCGAAACCAAACCCAAGTCAAAGCCCTTCACCTGTTTCAAATGTGGGAAGGAGGGTCACCGGGCGGCCGAATGTTTCTCCAAACCACCGCCAAAAGCCACCGGGACCAGCCAAAAGAAAGGCGATAAAATACCCGCCAAAACCCGCGGCACCGCCCTGAAAGGAGAAGTCGTTGAGTTCACTCCCCGGAACCAGGGTGAGTTGGGAACTCCGACCAATGATGATGACAGCGAGACGGACTCCGACTCTGACACCGACGAACGGGTGAGTCGCACGGAAGAACCCTTACTCATCCCCGTAGAAGTAAGGGTGCCCTCCACAGGAACTCACGCGCAATTGTTAGCCCTGTTGGACTCTGGGTGCACTAGGTGCATAATTAGCCCCAAAGTAGTGGAGGAAATGGGACTGAGATTGAAAACTTTAAAAAGACCCATTGCATTTTGTCAATTAGACGGATCGATTGCAGGAGGGGGCCCAGCTAGTTTTATGACCGAACCCCTTGAACTGCAGTTGGGGAATCATGTAGAGAAGCTCAGCTTTATCGTAGCACCTGGCATGGAAAGGCCCCTCATTCTAGGACTGCCCTGGCTTCGTAAATGGAACCCACGAGTAAATTGGAGAACGGGGGTCCTGCGCATCCGTACGGCAGAACCTACTCCGGAAAAGGAAGGCCCCTCCCTAAGGGACGACATAAGACCAGAAAGGGCAGCAGTAGCCATTAACTATATTGAGGGAGAAGAGAAAATTCCAAAGGAATATTGGGACCTCAAGGAAGTGTTTAGTGAAAAAGCATCGGATGCTCTACCTCCCCACATAGCCACTGACTGCACCATTGAAATACTACCAGGGGTGAAGCTTCCCAAACCAAAAATATACCACATGACACCTCGGGAACTGGGGGAATTGCGAAATTTTATTGACAAAAACTTAGAACGGGGATTCATCGAACGAGCCAAACCCAAGGTGGCAGCGCCAGTAATGTTCCGCGAAAAGAAAGATGGATCCTTCAGATTAGTTGTTGATTATAGAAACATGAACGCCATTTGCGTGGAAAATGTCTATCCCCTCCCACTTATGAAGGACATGTTGGCCCATTTAGGGAAGGGAAAATTTTTTATCAAACTTGATTTAAGAGAGGCATACTACCGAGTGAGAATAAAAGAAGGAGATGAATGGAAGACAGCATTTAATTGCCCACTGGGATGTTTCCAGTTTAGAGTACTCCCTTTTGGACTACAGGGGCCCCCGGCTGTATTCATGCAGTTGATCAACGAAGTGTTGCATGAACACCTATATAAGGGGGTGTTGGTCTATTTGGACGATATCCTAATTTATTCTGACAACATGGCCGACCATGTAAGATTGGTTCGAGCGGTCTTAAATAAACTCAGAGCAGCTGAGCTCTATGCTAAACTTTATAAATGTGAATTTCATCAAGAAATCGACTATCTTGGATATCGTATATCGCATGAGGGAATAGAGATGGACCCGGAAAAGGTCCGGGCAGTAATGGAATGGGCCGCACCGCGCACCCGTAAACAGTTACAAAGTTTCTTAGTGTTTGCTAATTTTTATAGACAATTTATCCCCTCTTTCGCGAAAATCGCACTACCAATTACAAACTTGCTAAAAACCAAAGGGGAAGTAAAACCCAAACCCTCGAAACCACTAGACTGGACTATGGACTGTCAGGCCGCTTTCGAAAAACTGAAACGCTTGTTTGCAGCTGAACCTGTGCTCAAACACCCCGACATAGAACAACCTTTTGTAGTACAAGCTGATGCTAGCGACGTCGCCGTAGGAGCAATACTCTTGCAAAAGAACGAGAATGGAATATTACAACCCTGTGCTTACACATCCCGTAAACTATCCGAGACAGAAAGGAGATGGGCCATATGGGAGAAAGAAGCGTTTGCAGTTAGATGGGCGCTGTTAACATGGAGACAATTTTTAGAAGGGGCGAAACACCCTTTCGAGGTGTGGACTGACCATAAGAATCTAGAAGCATTAAAAACTCCACGCAGACTATCACCGAAACAGGCACGCTGGGCCCAACATTTCAAACGATTCAATTTCACTTTACGTTACCTTCCTGGCGGAAAAAATTTCATGGCGGACGCACTTTCCAGATTGCCACAGTACAACAGCATAAAGAAGGAAGTGGTTCAACCGATGATCCCCTTAACTCAATTG